CCAGCATCGGGACTGAGTTTTGCATCAAGCCTGCCTGTTCTGCATGGGAGAACTCCAGCCTTAAATCAGACAACCCTTAGCCAAATCCCAGCTCAGCCACTTCCCATCTTTGGGAAGTCACTTCACGCCTAGGCCTCAGTTTCTCCACCTATAAATGGCAGACACTGAAACTCAGGTTGCTTATGAAGGAGTGAGTGAGTGTGAAAATGCACAAATACAGCATCCAAATAATAAGCATGCCTGTTGGAGCTTTTCCAGCCTCTGAAGACAGAATTGCTGTCTGCTCTCAAGTGAACCATGAGATCTTTGGGGGCAGAAAAATAATGGCCACCGTGTATTGTGTACTTACTCTGTGTCACTGATGAGGTCAGGACTATTTTTAACCACCATTTTTATAGGTGAGGAAACTGAGGCTCAGAGAGGGGAGGGACACCTCTTAAAGTCACACAGCCAGGAAGTGGCAGGGCTAAGATTCAGACCCCAGTCCATTTGACCTCCCCTGTCGTCCCCCATTTGCCCTCCCCTGTCTGTCGTCCCCCGCCCCCCCCCCCAAGTCGGTGCTTTGAGCCAATACATTTCAGCTGCCTCCTATCTGGGCCGATTCACACCTCTCCTGGGCTCCCTCCCTCTTTAGCCTTTAAGTGCTTAAGTTGGTAGCACAGCGTCTGCCTCCCCAAGGAATATCCTTTCCCACTTAGGCTGAAATCTCTGCTGGATGCTGGGGCCCAGGGAAGAGAGGCCAGCTATAAAAAGCCCCTTGCTGGGTCCTTCCCTGGTTGTACTGGAGGCCCCCTGAGCCCAGTGAACTCAAGAGTGCCAGCGAGCTTAAGGGGGCCAGGAAGGCTTTCCAGGGCCTCATGGGGGCCGCTGTGGGCACCTGCCAGGACTCCTTTCTTAGCTCAGCTTCGTAAAGTGCAGAAAAAACTCAAGGCCCCTTAGGGATCATAGCCATGGTGTCAGTTGTTGTTGTCATTATTAATAATATCTTTGTTGTTATCCCAAACTCAACGGAGTAGGACCACACATTTCCTGGGATTTTAGAGGGAGCAGGGATGGGACATGCGGTAAGGGAGTGGGCAACCCTCTTTAAATTCCTTCCCTTGCACCAGGCTTATGATAACTTACCCCCAGGTCAAGTTTGTGAAGCCAGAGTACCCAACCCTAAGATTGCTCCAGACCAGCATGTCCCTTGCTGGGCTTCATAGGTGTCCTATAAGACATGAATAGGTTTTCCACTGAAAAAAAAGAATTCCATGGTGAAATAAGTTTGGGAAACCCTAGGTTTAAAAAAAATTACTTTTTTCTGTTGCAGGCCTTCTCAGAGCCTTTAGTATGCTCATTCATTCATTCATTCATTCTTTTAAACAATATTTCTTGAGCATGTACTATATGGAAGATGCATTGTGCTGGGTTACAGAGATATAATGGGAGCAAACAATCATGGTCTTGGACTTCATGGCGTAGGGCCCATCTAAAATGCTGTTCTCAGTGCTGATTACACACTAGAATCACTGGGGGCTCTGAAGACAAAGGGCCCCCAAAGATTTTGATTCACATGGTCAACATTGGGTCCCGGTCACCTGTATTTTTCAAAAGCTCCCCTGATTATAATGTGCAGCCACGGTTGAGAGCCACAGGTAAGCAGTAAAATGACGACACGTAATCAGTCCCATGCAAGGTGAGGTTAGCATGCCATGAGAACCAGGATCAAGGAGACTGTCAGTGTCTGGGGGGTAGGGCAGGCTCCATCAGGCAAGAGATTTTAGTTGAAATCTGAGGGGTGAGCATAGGCACCCAGGTGGGACAGGGTAGGGGGTGGCATCTGGTGAAGGGGGCAGCCTGTGCAAAGGCGCCACAGTAGGAAGCCCTTGGGTAGAGAGAGGCATACCATGAGATTGGAGTTTGGGGTCAGAGAATCCAGGGTGTCTAACAAGTTCATCTTTCTGAGCCTCAGTTTCTCTCTCTGTAAGATGGGAATGCTATTACTCCCGATCTATAGGGTTTATCTGAAACTGGGGGAAGGAGTTTTGCATGGGAAGCCCTTTTAGTGAAATAATCGAATATATATTTCTTAAAATGCACCCTGGTCTCTGAATAGAGAATAAATCATACAGGGTCAAGTGTGAAAGCTATGTATAGTTCCTCTCCTGCCGTCATTTTGTGCCTGGATGAGAGCTAGCACATGTTTATTAAGCACCTACTGTGTGCCCTGAGTTGTGGGGTCCAGAGGATGTGTGGCACTCAGTTCTGGCTTTCAGTAAGCTCGTGATATATTTGGAGTGCCATTGGGGTCTGTGGAGGTGCCTTGGGGGGCCTCGCTGCAGGTTAAGAGGCTCTTTGCTCCTCTCCCGACACACACGCGTGTTGTGTAGACTGAGTCTCCACGTCATGATTCCATTTGAAGAGATTCCAAGAGAAGAGAGATGGCACCCAGAACTCTGGGGCAGGGTGTTTGTGGGAAAGTGCACCCAGCTCTGGGCTAACCACAGGGGTTAACTCTGGGCTCTCGGCTCCTTCCGGTAATGGCCACGCAACCCTGTGCCTGATTCCAATACAAGAGGTCCCCTCTTGGAACGAGAAAAAGCAATTGGCCCTGGAGGGCTTTCCATGGGGACGAGAGCCAATAGTTGCCAGTTATTGAATGCTGGTCCATTGAAAAGGGTATCCTGAATTATGATCCCACAGGAATTCTATGCATGCCTGAGGTTTAGGCCCATTTTTCAGGAGGGAGAACCTGAGTGCAGGGCTGTTAAGGCCCCCAGGAAAGGTAGAGCTGGGGTTCACATGTGGGCTTCTCTCTTAAATCTCCCCGTTGCTGTCTGCTGACCTCCAAATACCAGATGCGGCCAAGGCTGGAACTTTCTGGCAACTGGGAGCCATTGAACTTGAAGATTACCGAGCCAGGGGCCTCTGGGCTCCTGAGGTTCTTCTAGAATCATAGACCCCTGCTTCCTGTTCCTTAAAGTAGAGCAGTCAAGAAAGTGGGCCCTAGAGTTAGTCTGCCTGGGACCGTGTACCCCCTGTGCCATCCCTTACCAGCTGTGCAACTCTGGACATGTTGCTCTCTCTCTGCCTCAGTTGCTTGATCTGTCAAATGGGGGTATTATTAGTGCTTCACTGGATTCCTAGGAGGAAAGCTCTTACAAGACTGGTACATAGTAAATTTTCAATCAACATTATTACCCTGTTGCTGTTGTCATTTGTGTGAGTCTGCTAGCGCTGCAGTAACAAGGTACCGCAGACTGTGGGGCTTAAACAATAGCAATGTGTTTTCTTACAGTTCTGGAGGCTGGAAGTCCAAGATCAAGGTTGTCAGCGGGGTTGGTTTCTTCTGCGGCCTCTCTCCTTGGCTTGCAGATGGCCAGCGTCTCTCTGTGTCTTCACATGGTCTTCTCTGTGTGTGTGTCTATGCCCTAATCTCTTCTCCTTATAACGACACCAGTCATATTGGATTAGGGTCGCCCTGAGAATCTCATTTTAATGTAGTCACCTCTGCAAAGACCCTGCCTCCAAATACAGTCATACTCTGAGGTCCTGGGGGTTAGGGCTTCAACATAGGAGTTGGGGGTTGGGAAACAGTTCAGCTTATCGCACTGATACTGTTTTTTGTCCCCCATCCTCCACTGGACGACTGTCCTTCTATCTGCCTGACTTGGTGGGGCTTTCTCTTCCCTTCTGGCCCAGAAATCGCAGCCAAGCACTCAGCTCCGAGGCGAGCGTGGATGAAGGGGGCGTCTTCGAGAGTCTGAAGGCAGAAGCCGCCTCCCCGCCAGCCCTCTTCTCCGGCCTCTCCGGCCTCCCGGCAGGCAGCCTTCCCGCCACCCAGTTCCCATCCAGCCTGGTGCTGGGGGCCTCGGCCGGCGGTGGGGACGTGTTCATCCAGATGCCCGCGTCCAGGGAGGAAGGCGGGGGCCGGGGCGAGGGGGGCGCCTACCATCACCGCCAGCCCCACCACCACTTCCACCACAGCGGCCACCGGGGGAGCTCCCTGCTGCAGCACGTGGGCGGGGACCACCGCGCGCACTCGGACGAGGGGGGCGACGAGCCGCCCAGCACTCCCGCCCCTGCCCTGTCGGAGCTGAAGGCTGTGGTCTGCTGGCTCCAGAAAGGGCTGCCCTTCATCCTGATCCTCCTGGCCAAACTGTGCTTCCAGCATAAGCTTGGTGAGTCCCGGGGACATGGGGGCTTCACCTGCGAGATGGGGTTGCTCTCCAATCCCCAAGTGCCAGGGGAAGGCAGCAGAGGCCCTCATAGTGCAAAATGCTCAGGAGTATGGGATTCTGCGTCAGACCTGCGTTCAAATTCTGGCCGACTAGCTGTGTGACCTTGGGCAAGTCACGCACCTTCTCTGAGCCTGTTTCCTCATCTGTCCAATGTAGGTTATGATAGAAGCATCCCCAGCTGGTTGGTTGGTGTGAAGAAGTAGAGTAGTAACTAAGAGTTCACAGTACTTGGGTCTGAACCCAGGCTCTGCCCCTCCCTATCTTAGCTGTGTGACACTGGGTACGTTATCTAACCTCTCTGTGCCTCAGGCCCATCACTCATAAAATGAGGGTTATAAGAGGACGTACTCCATGGGATCACAGTGAGGTTAAATGAGTTAATATGTGTAAAGCACTTAGGACTGCTATATGCAAGTGTCAATTATTGTTTTCATTATATTCATTATAATACACGCAAAATACTAACAGAGAACCAGGCACAGAGCAGGTGCTCAAATACTACCTACTGTTAGTATTATCAGGAAATAAGATAATGATTGATAAAGTGCTTAGCCTAGAACCTGACACACACTTTTTTTTATAAAGAAATTTTATAGGGGAACAGTATGTTTTTCCAGGACCCATCAGCTCCAAGTCAAGTAGTTATCCTCAAACTAGTTGTGGAGGGCGCAGCTCCTTGGCCCATGTGGGAATCGAACTGGCAACCTTGGTGTTATGAGCCTTTGCTCTAGCCACCTGAGCTAACATGCCACCCCTCAAATTCTTTTTGAAAGTAGAAATAATAATAGGCGCCATTTCCTAACTGCTAGAGATTATGCTCTATAAACATTATCCTCCCATGGGATAAGTACTGTTATTATTCTGTCCATTTTATAGATGAGGAAAATGGGGCTCAGAGAGATACAGCGACCAGCCTAAGCTCACACAAAGAGGAGTGGCAAAGGCAGGATTTGAACCCAGGTCTTACCAGACTGCACAGCCCATGCTCTTAACCTGGTTCTATAAAATGCCCCACAGTGGCCTCAGTTCCATCCCTACCACAGAGGCCTATATTCAGAGGGGTTCGGGGTCCCGTGATGTATATGGCAGCCCAAATCCCCCCAAAATGAGATTTTCTCTGTCCTCTGTGGTTGGCCTGTAAACTCCAAGGGGACCAGGGATGTGTCTTCTTAATGCTGCTCACAGCCCCTAGTAAGCCAGGGCCGGACCTGATGAGTCTGCCTGGTGGCGCTGGGCCCCTCTCTATCCACAGGCATTGCCGTGTGCATCGGGATGGCCAGCACCTTTGCCTACGCCAACTCCACGCTCCGAGAACAGGTTTCTCTGAAGGTGAGTCACCCGGCCAACTCGTCTCCTATGGCTCCTGTAACAAATGACCACAAGCTTAGGGGCTTCAAACATCAATATATTATCGTGTAGACGAGTCCGATCAGAAGTCTGAAGTGGGTCTCTCTAGGCTAAGATCACAGTGTCAACAAGAATGTGTTTTTTTTCTGGAGCGTTTAGAGGAGAATCTGTTTCCTCACCTTTTCCAGGTTCCAGAGGTCGCCCACGTTCTTTGGCTCCTGGCCTCATCCTCCTCTTGGAGCCAACACCATTGCATCTCTGTGACCGTCCTGCCATAGTCACATCTCCCTCTGACTCCTCTTCTGCCTTCCTCTTCCACGTTTAGGGATGCTTGGGATGACATTGGGTCCACCTAGATAATCCACGAGTCTCCCCCCATCTCAAGGTCAGCTGAGAGCAACAGTAATTCCCTTTGTCATGTGACCTAACACAGTCACAGGCTGTAGCGATTAGGACGGGGACATCTTTGAGAGGTCATTCTTATGCCTGCCACCCCTGGGCAGATCCCCGGATATACCATCCTTCTCCTAAGCCCTTCCACCAGCAGCGTCTCCCTCACATGCCCCAGCCCAGTCCCTTTAGCCTCCTGGTATTCAACCAGGTAGCTCACTTCCAGCCCACCCTCGTGGCTAAGGCCATGCCACCGACACTGCTGGGTGGCCACCCAGCTTCACCACCGTCATTCTAAGTGCCTTCTCATGTGAGCAGAGCACTAACCATGCCCAGCATGGTGCTGGGCCCCTTTGCACAGTTCATCTTGCACGTTTGTCTCAGTAACCTGGGAGGGAGACAGAGTCATTCTTATCTCATTTTCCCAATAGGAAACAGCAGCTCAGAGACACTTAAGTGTCTTGCCTGAGGTCACACAGCCAATGCAAATGGTGGTGTCAGGATATGAACCCAGGCATTGAGCCCAAAGGCTGTGTTCACCCCAAGTTCAAATCTTAGCTCGTCCACCCACCTACACCCCTCAGGTTACCTCGGTGGCTCAGCCTCGGGTGCCACCTCTGGAAAAGGAACAACTCACACCAACTTCATACACCCGTAGAGAGGATCAAATGAGATAGTGCAGACAAGGTATTTAGCACAGTGCCTGGCATATAGGTAATATTTAATCGAGCTGTTTTTAACAAGCCTGTGCTTTGTGCTGTGCATGTAATCCCATAACCCACCATCCTATCCTCTCTGATCTTTCTTGGGCGTCATCTGCTTTCTCAAAAACACCTGGGGCTCCATGGGACGTGGAGGACAGCTCAGTCTCCACTTGACACAGGAGCCCATGGAGGTCCAGACATGGAGCCAGAGGTTCTTCCTGACCCTTTGTCTCATCTTCTTCATGCAAACCCCTTTCTTCTGCTATTAAAACAGCAAGTTGAGAATGGGAGGCTTTGGGGGCCAGCTGTCTCTCAAATGCAGTAACATCCACATGGTGCCTTGACTTGAATTTCAGGGTGCCTGCATCCGTGGAGGGGCTTCTACGGGTCCTGAACCTTATGATGTGCAGACATGGGTCATGTTTTGCCTGTCTGCGCTAATTTTCTGTGAAAGAAAGTCTGTGTGACCCTTCTTAAGTTTAGGAATCTCACCTTCCTACTAGGAAACTACCCCTTTGTCCTTCAGTGTCTGGCTTCTGAGGGCATCACTGATTCCCTCTTTCTCTTCCACCTTTGCTCTGGATCTACAGTGGATTAAACTGGAATCCATTATTTATTGGGGTAAAAAGGGCCGCCGAGTGGGTTAATCACATTGATAAGAGCAGTTGGTTGGCTGGAGGTGGTTTCTAGGGTCGTTAACCTTGACCGCTCCTGGAATAATGGCTGGATGGAGATGCATTTATTGGTGTCTACTCCGTGGAAATACGCATCGTATGGGTGTATGGGGCACTGAGCTGTGTCTGGAGACAGTGAAGCATTTACCGAAACTGCAGGGAAGGTTACGCTGGGAAAGTTATGACCTCATCCGATTCCAGCAATACAGCAGCCCTGGTCCAGGAAGAGACGAGCTTTTGAAAATCAGCAGCACAGGGGTCTGCGTTTGTCTCCCAGGGCACGTAGGCGGGGGACACACCCTGCCCGGCGCCACCTCCAGAAATTTCCTGGGATTGTTCCCCCGGCAGCAAAGCTGCTGGGAAACAGCAAACCTAGAACGTTTTCCAGCTTGTCTTCCTGGGGACTCCACAGAAACGAGGCTGGAGAAAGAGAGATGAGGCCGGATTGTGAAGGGTTTTGATGGCCAAGGGTACAAGCTTGAATTTAGTCTTATAAACATGGACCCTCATTGAACGGTTGGGCCAGGTCAGGAGGCCGGAGGACCATGCTAGAAAAAGGGAGAGCATAATTTTCTAGCTTCTAGACGTGAGTCGTCTGCTGGGTGAGAGAGTCTGAATACTAGGTCCCACCATTTAGCAAGCCCGAAATGTGAGCCCATTCCGGGCCAAATGTTTACGTTCATGAATTGTGCTTAATACTTAACACAGCCCCCGTTTTTAATTGAGGACACTGAGGCTTAAAACATGTGCCACTTGCTTAACTTCTCTCTGCTTCAGTTCCTACTAGTAAATGAAAACTAACATTTATGACGTGTTAGGCAGTGTTCTAAGTGTTTCATGTACATGCATTCTCACAGCGTTATCTGAGAAATACAATATAGACCCATTTTACAGGTGAGGACAGGGAAATGAAAACAGTTTAAGTCACTTGCCCAGAGTTGGACGGTTTTCGGGTAGCAGACCAAGGATTTGAACTCAGGCTTCCAGGTCCAAAATCTGTGCTGCTAACGACTGTGGCTCTCCTGCCTTTCTAGGGAATTCTCCAAGCAGATGTCCACATTTCCGTCACCTCTGTAACCACCCCCTTGGGCTCCAGTGGAATGGAAAAATGCCAACACCCCTTTCACCATTAGCCCTGCCCCCTCCAAACCTTTGAGAAAAGAAAAAGTTGCCCCATGTCAGAAAACATTCTGGAATGTTCTGCCGTGTGCACCTTTGGCATTGCCACATCCCCACAGATTTCTTGCTTTGTCTCCAGGAGAAGAGGTCAGTGCTGGTCATCTTATGGATCTTGGCCTTTCTGGCGGGGAACACCCTATATGTACTCTATACGTTCAGTTCCCAGCAGCTGTACAACAGGTAAGCAGGGGAGTCTGACCCCCAGTGGGAAAACGGTGGTGAGGGGGCTTCCTTGGACTTGGGACACACAACCCCTTCACTTGAGAACAATGCATCAGAATTATGTCACATTGTAACTTTCCACTTCCACCCTGTTGTTACATACACACATGCCTACAGCCGAGCTCTCTTACTAGAAATCGTAATACAAGCCACCTCTTTAATTTTACATTTTCTGGTAAACACATAGTGGCTGGTTGGGGAGGGCTGGCCAGTGAGGGCCTCTAGGATGGGGCTGAAACTCAAGCCAAGCTTTCAGATCATGTACATCTGTTTTGAAAATGGACTGTGACAAATGAGCCATTTGTCTACTTTCTGGGGCCACCCTATAAGGGCAATTAGGGAGTTAGTGCCAAGACTCCCGCTCAACGTCTCACACACGCTGCATTAGTTGCCTGGCCCAGCACATCAAGGACATGGCGAAGGTTCTAGGCGGTGGAGTTTCTCAGAACCCTGGATGAATTGCCAGCTCATGTCATTCTCTGAGCATGATCACAGCCCCAGGCTCAGCCTTCGGGCGCCCCCATCAAACCAGGGCTGAGACAAACTGGCAACACAAAGAGAGACAGTGGTTTAGGGAGACAAGCAACCAATCTGAGCCCCCTTATGGATGTCAACTCTAGAGTGTCTGTGATAGCAATAGCCATTATCTTACTTTGTCATCTCAGTGACCCAGCAGGGTATAGCTGTCCCCACTTCATAGGTGAGGAAGCTGAGGCTTACCGAAGCCCTTCCTAATAAGTATTAGTCCCGGTAAGTAGCTCTTCACAGCCAACTTGAGTCTTCCTAGCATTTGAAGCAAGCCTGATGACCAACGTCAGTGAGTCTTAGCCCTGCCACTTACCAGCTTTGTGCCCTGTGGCAAATAATGGAATCCGTTGGAGACGCTCCTCATTTCCTCGTGTGAAACTGGGACCTAGTTAGTCCTTGCCTTACCCACCTGAACAGGCTAATTATTAGGGAGGCCAAATGTTGTAATACATGAACAGTACTAGGTAAACCATGAAACATTTGACATATCATCATCATAGCATACTTAATATTTATTCTTTTATGATGAACTGCTATTCCTATTGGTGGTGGTACCTAATACGGATCAAAACTGACAATAAAATAGATCAGCTGATTAAAGTTCACAGCGTACGTTAGGTGAAAAAACACTTGCAATGCCCCTCCTCCAAACACTGAGATAGTGTAAAACAGAAAAAAAAAACATTAAGACGGTGAACTTAAAACCCAGATAGGTGAATTAACACCAACCCGTGTCTCTGAAAGAAAATGGGAAGAGGAAGGCAGATCTTCATTTTATTGCAATCACAGAAGCAGAGCGTGGAAGTCAGCCAGCCAGCCTGCGGTACCCCCAGGGAAGGACAAGAGCAGCGGCAGAGAAGGGAGCTCGGGGCTGCCAGCCTCTCCCCTCATTACAACATGAACGGCCACTCAAAGTGGGATGCGAAGAATTCCACGGAGAGAGGGCTAGGATGTAAGGACCCTGAAGGTAGTATGAGAGATTGCCCAAACCGATGGTTGTCGTTGATTTTGCCCTATGCTAGCTAGCTCTGTATAAAGATATTTATTATAAATAGAAATAGGTTTTGAAAAATAAAAGTAAAAAAAAATAGTTCATTCCTAGTCTCTTATAATAAGGAGACCTTGGTTGGCACTGTTCTCCACCAGCCCAGCAGAGTATTTTGGAAGCATTCAAAAAGCATCCACTGTGGGCTGTGTGCACTGTTCCCCGCTTTTCAGAGGACAGAGAGGACTCGGTCTGGCCTTCCGTCAGAGCCTCGAATCCAGTGGGACAAAAAGTGAGCGGACCAGTACACTGTGGGTGCTGGTTCCGATCCTAGCTCCACATTCTAGCTGACAGTGCTGTGAGCAGGTGACACCACCTCTGAGCGCCTCAGTTTCCCCAGCTCAACACGGGATAATCGTAGCACCTACGTCATAGAGTCTTTGGGAAGACAAAATGAGTGAAGTCGTTCCAAGTGTGAAGAGTAGGGCCAGTGTGATGTAAAGAGCCAAGAGCTTTTCACTGCTATTTTTATGATTACGCATAACACCATCATCCTCAGAGGTGGTGGTGAGCAGGACCCCTCAAAGTGTGGTCCATGGACACGTGCCAGTTTGAGATCAGCATGTTGTCTGTCTCCGGTGAGGTAAGTACAGAAATCAAGTGTGAGGTTAACTTACCTGGTTACAGTTGGGTGAAATGAGTTTACGTACTCCAAGTAGCACTGCTGTCGAGTAAGGATTGAGAGTACTTAACTGTAGCTAGGATGCCTGGGTTTCAATCTGTCTCACTCCCTTAACATTTGCAGGACCTTGTGTGTGTTACTTTACCTTTCTGTGCCTCAGTCTCCTCACCTGCAAAGTGGGGTAGATAGTAGTGCCTGCCTCATAGAGTTGCTGTTATCATCGTCATGGCTACATGGCAGAGGCTGTCGCCTGATAGAAAGATGTCAGTTATCTCATCAAACCCTGCCAATATGAGAGAGGGAGTGATCCCATTTTGTCAGTGAAAACACTGAGGCTGACAGAGAAAACATTATTTTCCCAGAGTCCAATACACAGAGAAGCCTGGATTCAAGTTCAAGTCTGCCCAGATGCCCATTATCATGCACTGTGACCTTGGGCTACTTACCTCACCTCTCCAAGCTTCACTGCCTCATTTATAAAGCGGGGAGAAGCAATGCTCACTGTGCAGGACAATGAGATGCAGTGAGTCAAGAGCTTAGCATGGTGCCACATCGGTTTTCCTCTTCCCTCCTTCTCTCCCTCCCTCCTTCATAGTGTTGGCCTGTTTTTCTTCCTTCCTTCTTCCTCTTGTGAAACCTATTGTGGACCCATAAAACTGGAAAGGACCTTAACTGATGACACCCCAGGCCAATCTGGTCTGTTAACCCTCAGGGGAACTAAGGCTCAGAGAGGCTAAGAGACCCACCTGAGGTCACACAGGAAGTTAGCAGATTGAGGAACAGGTCACTGACGTCGTTCTATAGGTAGCATTTCCAAGGCTCCCAGAGTGATCCTAAGTGAGCATGCTGACTCTGAATCCTCCCCACAGCCTCATATTTCTAAAGCCCAACCTGGAGACCCTAGAGTTCTTCGACCTGCTGTGGATCGTAGGGATCGCGGACTTTGTGCTGAAGTACATCACCATCGCCCTCAAGTGCCTCATCGTGGCCCTGCCCAAGATCATCCTGGCCGTCAAGTCCAAGGTAGGTGCTGCCTGTCACCAAGTAGCCTCAATCATGCTGAGCATGCGGGGGATTCAGGGTGCCATCCGAAGGAGGAAAGGATGGATGTGGGCAGAGCTAAGGTCAGCGTACCAAAGGAACGGAGCCTGAGCTAGTAGAGCCTATCACCCGCCTCTTCTAATTCCTTGAAGCTGAGCATGGCTCTTTGTTGTTACCACCTGCCTTCTACACCTCTACTCCAAGTGCTTTTCCTGTTTCGTTGTACAAAGCTGCCCGTGATGCCGTTTTTATCTAAATTTCACCTGAATAAGAAAAAAAAACCATCTTGACATGCCCTGGGTCCTGCTTCTCCCAGGGAAGAATGGCTTTTATAGGTTTGGACTCTTTGTGGCTTCAGGAGCATGTTTTGTAAAGGGTCCCAAGGCTCAGAAGGAAAGAACTCTGTGATTGATTAGTGATGTCTGCTGTGGACACAGGAAGGGGCGTGATGGCGATGGTGTTTTGCAATGTCCTGTAGGGAAACGTCTGCAGGTGGGTGTGGGGTTGAAGAGGTGTCGGGCGGGATAACCACTATAATTCAGAGGGCTGAGTAGCGCTAGGATAAAACATCACCTTTAGGATATAATTGTTGCCAGTTCCCCTGCAAGAAGACCCAAAGCAGGGAATCTGGACAGAGGCACCTGGACAAAACAATCTCTGGAGATTCCTGCTTTCCATGCTGTAAAAACTGCCATCTTTTCAACTTCAGAAAGGTCAGAATTTGTCCAGACATGGGTTGTCAGGAGAGCAGGTTGGAATTGGCCGTCCATCTTGCGTGACAGCTGACCAAACCCATTGGCCAGGTATATAGAAAAAAAACCCACATGCCTGTGTTTCTTCTTTACTCACACACGTAATACTTCTGACACCGGATGTGTGGGTTTTCCGCACATCAAGCAATTCTCTGACACCATCTGGGTGTCCTACAGTTGAACTCAGTTCTGTCACTATCTACCTAGAGATGGCATCAGATCCCTCAGGTTAAGGGCTCTGTCCTGGCCCCTTCCCACTTCAGATGCCAATCACAAGTCCGGGTTGCCACCTGTGCTTCTGACCGACTGGTTATAAATCAGAGTTCCCATGACCCCGTCCTTGGTTCAGTCATTTGCTAGAACAGCGCACAGAACTCAGGAAAACACATTTACTGGTGTGTTCCTTACTACTTTATAATTATTCATTAAATATATAATTAATATGTAATTTGTATTAAATATATTTTTTATTATATACCTCACGTTAGTGTCTTAAAGCAATATGAATTTATCTTACAGTTCTGGAGGTCAGTTCCTCCATCTTCATATAATAGTACTTCATATATTTTATTATGTGTGTATTCAATATATAATTATTATTATTAATAAAGGATGTGATAAAAGATACAGATGAACAGCCAGCTGAAGAGATACATAGGGAAAAGTCTGGAAGGGTCCTGAGTACAAGAGCTTCTGCCCCCATGGAGTTGGGGTACGCCACCCTCCCAGCCTGGAGATGTGTTCACCAACCCCGAAGCTCTCTGAGCCTTGTACTGTTGGGATTTTTATGGAGGCTTCATCCTGTAGGCATGATCAATTATTAACTCCATTCTAGCCCCTCTCCCCTCCCCGGAATAAGGAGGGTAGGGCTGGAAAGTCCCAAGCTCCTAATTATGGCTTGGTCTTTCTAGTGACCAGCCCCCACCCAGGATTCTACCTGGGGTCACCTCATTTGAACAAAAGACGCCCTAGGAAACGCCAAGCGATTTAAGAGTTTGGCATCAGATGCTCCCCTCACTCAGGAAATTGCAAAGGTCTTAGGAGCTCTGTGTCGGGAACTGGGATCAAGGACTCCATGTTAGAACGAAAGATTCTAGCTCTTCTGTTTACAAGGGGTGCTGGGAGCTCCATCTCAGGAACCCGGGGAGGAGGAGAGCAGAGACCAATATGTATATTTCTTAGTATTTCACACCAGCGTAAACTGAGTCTGGTATTGTCCCCCCCTCCCCCCATGCCTCACCTTCACTTCCTCCCCCCATCATGTCATTTATCTGATGGAGCCAAAATCCTAAGGCTGTTGAGGTTTACTCAGATGAAGACACAGCTCTGGTACCCAGAGGCAGTGCCAGGAAGCCTAAAATGGCATCAAGAAAAAGAAAAGAGACACAGAGAAGCGTGGCAAGAGGAGAAGCAATAGGCCTGAGATGCCTCCCACTTGCCCCTGCCGAGACGGCATAACCGTTACATTTGCCCCTGGAGCTCATGCCACGTACCAGGTAGGCACTAGGAACTTGACACCGGGAAGTAGCATGGCCTAATGGTTATGCACATGGATGGCGGCACTGGACATGTCGACCTTCGGGTCCCAGCTATACCCCGTCCTTGCTGTGTGAATTTAGGCAGATGACAAAACCTACCTGAATCTTGCTTTCCTCACCTGGCAACTCAGGACAATAATAGCGTTAAGTATGAACCTCAGAAGAACTATTACTGGTGAGACATAAAAAGTGCTTTGCCCCATGCCCAGCACATAGTAAGCCCTCAATGAATGATTCGCAATACTTCTAAGTGTTATTCATGACTACTAGCCCTGTACCGACTAGCTGTGTGACTTTGGATAAGTCACTTAACCTCTCTGTGCCTCAGTTGCCTCATCTGTAAAATGGGGATGATAATTGTGCTGGATGCCTTTCTTTCTGCCCCTCCAGATACACTCTCCACCTTTCTCAACCTGCTCCCAGTCCAGGAGGCCAACCTGCGTGAACTAGATCAACGGGCTCGTGTGGCCCCTGGCTTCCAAGTGGGTTTGGCCAATGGGAGGCCTGAAAGGAGAGAGGGGCAGAGGTCTATTCCCCTGGTGTCTTGGTCTCCTGTGGCAGCTGTAACAAATGGCCACATTAAAACCACATTAGTGGCTTACAGCAACATACATTTATTCTCTTACAGCTTTGGAGGTCAGAATTCCAAAATGGGTTTCTCTGGGCTAAAGTCTAGGTGTCGGCAGGAGTGTGTGCCTTCCTCCATCCTCAGAGTCAGCCACAGCCGCTTGAGTCCTTCTCTTGTTTTGCTTTCTGACTCTCACTTGAGTCTGCCTTATGAGGACCCTTGGGATTACCTTGAACACCCCCCTACCCCCACCCCAGCGAATCCAAGGGACTCTCCCCATCTCCATACCCTTACTCACATCTGCAAAGTCCCTTTTGCCATGTCAGGTAACCGCTTTGGAGGATTGGGACATGGACCCCTTTGCGGGTACGGTGACTCACCTAGCGGCCACACCTGGTTTCTTTCCTCCCTGCTGGCTTATCACAGGTCATCACTGTTCTAGGGGCTTTACACACATTCATTCATTGAATTCGCACCCCATGCGGTAGGTACTGTGTCACCACCGTGTCTTTCACGGAGGTGGGAAATAAGTATAAATACACAGTTCCCATCACAGGCAGCCCACTGCAGACAGCTTTCTGTGAAGGTCCAGTAACTACGCCCTCCCCTCTCCCCTTGCAGGCTGAGGTGATCACAGCTCCCTTTCTTTCCTCTCAGGTAGGTACTGTTTCTGTCACTGATGGATGAAGAGATGGAAGGTGAAGGGGGCAGGTGGCTTGTCAGGGTCACAGGAGGCTGTTTTTCCAGCCCAGACCTTCACCTCAAAGTGGGTATGGGAGAAAGATATGGAAATCAGGTAGTTTAATGGTTACTTATCACCTAGTACGTTCTGACTCTTGCTAAGCTCTTTCGCATGTTCTGACTCACTTAGGGTTCGCAACACTGCGTGGGAGAGAGAATTTATTATCCTCTCTTTCTAGATGAAACGCTGAGTATTAGCTCCCTGTGGCTGCTGTAACAAATGACCCCACCCCTGATTTGTCCTCTCACAGCTCTGGAGGACAGAAATCCAAAATCAGTGTCCCTGAGCTGAAATGAAGGCGTCAGCAGGGCAGCTCTGGCTCCGTTATTAAGGGAGGAGCTGTGCTTTCCTAGTCCAGCTCGTGGTGGCTGCTCATGTCCCTTAGGTTGTGGTTCCATCGTTCCAATCTCTGCCTCTGTGGTCACAGAGTCTCCTCTTCTGTGTGTGACTCTCCCCCTACCTGTCTTTTGTAAGGACACATGTGTGACATGTAGGGCCTACCTGCATAACGCAGAATACTCTTCCCCAGGCCAAGAGCCTTCACTTAATCATATCTTCCAAAGACCCTTTTTCCAGATAAGGTCACCTTCACAGGTTCCAGGGACTAGGATCTGGTGCCTTTGGATGGCTATTGTTTCGCTTATTATACTGAGGCCGAAGGAGGGTGAACATCATTTGTCCATGAAACAGCCAACTAGTCAGTTACAGAATCAGAATACAAGTCTTCCAACTCCCAAGGCCATGGCCACTTCAGGAGGTCACCTGCCAGGCACTGAATGGATCGGATGCTAGAGCACCTGGGCCATTACGCACCCTGCCATTTTCTAGCCCCAGGGCCCTGGGAGAGTCACTTAACATCTCTGACCATGTTTCTTCTTGAGATGTTAACAAAACCCCATTTGAGATGCTGCAAAGATAAAAAGACTTCATGTGTGTGGATGGAAGGAGGGGTTGGTCATTACCTGGAGAGGAGACAGGTGAGGCTCCACTGCCCTTCACCGATGGTCCTACCTACCTACCTGGCCTCCTTAGTCATTCCACTCCCTTTCTCCTGCCCACCCCTTCACTCTGCTCTTCAGTCAGACCCTACTTCTTTCATTTCGTTATACGCTTTAACTAGTCCCCATCAGACATGTGGAGGATGTGCTTCTTATCCCATTTTTCAGATGAGAAAACCGAGGCACTGAGACACTAACCAACTCACACAGCTTCTGGAATGGGTTGTGCGCTGCCATGTCTCCTACCCTTCTGCCTCAGAAGACCCTTTTCCTTGTGTCCTAACTAACTTCTGCTGCTTCTACAGGTCACATTCTCTTAGAAAGCTTCCCTGCCCCTTCAGGCTAGGGTTGGCGCCCCTTCTGAGGACTCACAGCTCCCTAGAC